TCTCTCTCTGATTAAGTGCGATTCATACGTTTCCCGAAGATTTTTCACGTTAAACCATGGATATTAAACAAATTCACATTAAACCTAAGAATACATGGATGGAGTCTTTTGCAAAGGGAAAATGATAACAGCGGTAAACGGGCAGTACCATAGGTGTAGGAATACTACACTGATATCGGCTAATTCCGTGTTGACTTCGGTTAAATAAAATTCCGTGAGCGTAGCTCGGAAGTGTTCGGTATAAGTATAATGTTCTATCATTGTTCTGTAGAAGCGTCTTCTCTCTGCACGCGTCGAATATTACCGAACGTAACCGAAATGTACCAAAGTTAGTGGTTGATCCCATGTGATACCACGTGATCCCCTTAAGACGCATCTCACACAGAACAAAAACCTCTATTAGACATCCATTAGACGTTCTTCATAGATATTCGAAATCTCCATTAAAGATCCATGTAACTTCCTATAGATATCTACTAAACATCCATAGATCCGCATTTTGTACTTCCATTCGACCTCTATTTAGACGTCCACATTTATAAATATTTTTCAAACGTTGTGTAAATCAATTCTAGATCTCATAAAGTTTTCGCTGGATAATTTTATAGATTTCTAGCAACATAACAAAATACAAATAACTACATTTAACAAGAACATATCAAATTCCTGAAATTATTTTTACATAAAACTCAATAAAACTATTATCAAAAAAACATCTAATTTAGTTTCATTTTAGAAATCAATTTTGAGGACTCTTTCAAAGAATCGTTTTGTTAATGAATAAAAAAATCTCATAATACTGCGGCTTTTATTCCATTCTATATCGTTTTTTAAATACGAGAAAGACAACTTTGTTGACTCCATCTATCGGCGATGCCGTATATCAGGTTTTTTTTAAATCCATAATAGATGTCTAATGGACGTCGATGATAGATTTGTGGAGGACATCTATCATGGATATAGTATGGATCTCTTTTGGAGATCTATTTAACTTCCATCATGGACGTGGATATTGTATGGAGCTATGGAGGCTATATGGACGTCTAATGGAGGTTTTGTTCCGTGTGGGTAGAAATGTCCAAAATGTAT